CCATATGCCCCCATAACCGCCCCCCCAAGTACCGGATTGGTCCTCGGTGGTGTCGGCGGCGTGGATCTGGTTGTCGAACCACAGATGTGCCACAGTCATCCTGTTTTGGGTGAGGGTCCCGGTTTTGTCGGAGCAGATGACCGACGTGGAGCCCAAGGTCTCCACGGCCTCCAGGTTCTTCACCACGCAGTTCTTCCTCGCCAGACGCTTCGCCGTCAGGGAGAGGCAAACCTGGGGGGCAACGGGGGGGTTATGGGGCGCCCCATAGGGACATACGGGACCTCCTGCACCCCATAGGGACCTGCAGGAGCCATAGGGCCTCTGTGACCCCATAGGGATGCCCAGGACCCCATAGGGACCTGCAGGAGCCATAGGGACCTGCAGAAGCCACAGGGACCTCTGTGACCCCATAGGGACTCATAGGACCCCACAGGGACCTCTGTGACCCCATAGGGACGCCCAGGACCCAATAGAGACCTGCAGGAGCCATAGGGCCTCTGTGACCCCATAGGGATGCCCAGGACCCCATAGGGACCTCTGTGACCCCATAGGGACTCCCAGGACCCCATAGGGACCTGCAGAAGCCAGGGGACCTCTGTAACCCCATAGGGACCTCCAGAACCCCATAGAGATCTTCAGGAGCCATAGGGACCTCCAGGACCCCATAGGGACCTCTGTGACCCCATAGGGATGCCCAGGACCCCATAGGGACTCGCAGGACCCCACAGGGACCTCTGTGACCCCACAGGGATGCCCAGGACCCCATAGGGACCTGCAGGAGCCATAGGGACGTCTGTGACCCCATAGGGATGCCCAGGACCCCATAGGGACCTGCAGGAGCCATAGGGACCTCTGTGACCCCATAGGGACCTTCAAGACCCCATAGGGACCTCCAGGATTCCATAGGGACCCCCAGGACCCCATAGGGACATCCAAGATCCCATAACAACCTCTGTGACCCCATAGGGACCCGCAGTGACCCCAAACTCACGGTGACGGTGGCCAGCAGCCCCTCGGGGACGTCGGCCACCACGATGGCCATGAAGAAGACCATGGCCCGGAGGAAGGGGGACCCGATGACCCCATAGGGACCTCCTGCACCCCATAGGGACCTCTGTGACCCCATAAGGACCTCTGTGACCCCATAGGGACCTCCTGCACCCCATAGGGACCTCTTTAGGGACCTCTGTGACCCCATAGGACACCTCTATGACCCCATAGGGACTTCTGTGACCCCATAGGGACCTCTGTGACCCCATAGGGACCCCCAGGATCCCATAGGGACCTCCAGCTCCTCACAGGCACTTCCAGGATCCCATGGGAACCTTTGTGACCCCATAACGGCCTCTATGACCCCATAGGGACATCTGTGACCCCATAAGGACCTGCAGGACCTCATAGGACCCCCCAGTTACCCCATAGGGACCTCTATGACCCCATAGGGACCTCCAGGACCCATAGGGACCTCCAAGACCTCTCAAAGTTCTCCAGGACCCCATAGGGACCTTTATGACCCCATAGGGACCTCTGTGACCCCATAGGGACATCTGTGACCCCATAGGGACCTCCTGCACCCATAGGAACCTCTGTGACCCCATAGGGACCTCCAGGATCTCATGGGACCCCCAGTGACCCCATAGGGACCTCTATGACCCCATAATGACCTCTGTGACCCCATAGGGACCCGCAGTGACCCCATAGGGACCTCTATGACCCCATAGGGACCTCCAGGACCCCATAGGGACCCCCCAGTGACCCCATAGGGACCTCTGTGACCCCATAGGGACCTTCAAGACCCAATAGGGACCTCCAGGATTCCATAGGGACCCCCAGGACCCCATAGGGACCTCTATGACCCCATAATGACCCCTGTGACCCCATAGGGACCTCTATAACCCCATAGGGACCCCCAGTGACCCCATAGGGACGCGCAGTGACCCCAAACTCACGGTGACGGTGGCCAGCAGCCCCTCGGGGACGTAGGCCACCACGATGGCCATGAAGAAGACCATGGCCCGGAGGAAGGGGGACCCGATGACCCCATGGGGACCTCCTGCACCCCATAGGGACCTCCTGCACCCCATAGGGACCTCTGTGACCCCATAGGGACCTCCAGGATCTCATGGGACCCCCAGTGACTCCATAGGGACCTCTATGACCCCATAGGGACCTCCAGGACCCCATAGGGACCTCTCTGACCCCATAGGACCCCTCAGTGACCCCATAGGGACATCCTGCACCCCATAGGGACCTCTGTGACCCCATAAGGACCTCTGTGACCCCATAGGGATCTCCTGCACCCCATAGGGACCTCTGTGACCCCATAGGGACTTCCAGGATCTCATGGGAATCTTTGTGACTCCATAAGGACCTCTGTGACCCATAGGGACCTCTATAACCCCATAGGGACCCCCAGTGACCCCATAGGGACCTCCTGCACCCCATAGGAACCTCTGTGACCCCATAGGGACCCGCAGCGACCCCAAACTCACAGTGACGGTGGCCAGCAGCCCCTCGGGGACGTAGGCCACCACGATGGCCATGAAGAAGACCATGGCCCGGAGGAAGGGGGACCCGATGACCCCATGGGGACCTCCTGCACCCCATAGGGACCTCCTGCACCCCATAGGGACCTCTGTGACCCCATAGGGACCTCCAGGATCTCATGGGACCCCCAGTGACTCCATAGGGACCTCTATGACCCCATAGGGACCTCCAGGACCCCATAGGGACCCCCAGTGACCCCATAGGGACGCGCAGTGACCCCAAACTCACGGTGACGGTGGCCAGCAGCCCCTCGGGGACGTAGGCCACCACGATGGCCATGAAGAAGACCATGGCCCGGAGGAAGGGGTAGCCGATGACCATGGCCACCACGAAGAAGGTGGCCCCGAAGAAGATGGCCAGCCCGGCGATGATGTCCACGAAGTGCTCGATCTCGATGGCGATCGGGGTTTTTTCGTTCTCCACCCCGGAAGCCAACGAGGCGATGCGGCCGATGATGGTCCGGTCCCCCGTGTTGATCACCAGGCCCAGAGCCGTGCCTGTGGGGTGGCCCCATAGATCTGAGTCACCACGGTGGCCCTATAATGGCCCCACATCTCCACGACCCCATAATGGCCCTATAATGGCCCCATAATGGCCCTATTGTGGCCAGACATCCCCACGACCCTATAATGACCCTATAATGGCCCTATAGTGGTCCGGTCCCCCGTGTTGATCACCAGGCCCAGAGCCGTGCCTGTGGGGCGGCCCCATAGATCTGAGTCACCACAGTGGCCCTATAATGGCCCTATTGTGGCCACACATCCCCACGACCCTATAATGGCCCTATAATGGCCCTATAATGGCCCCACATCCCCACGACCCCATAATGGCCCTATAATGGCCCCATAATGGCCCTATTGTGGCTCTGTATCCCCACAACCCCATAGTGGCCCTATAATGACCCCACTGTGGCCCCATTGTGGCCCCAGATCCCCACGACCCCATAGTGGCCCTATAGTGACCCTATTGTGGCTCCACACCCCCACGGCCCTATAATGGCCCTATTATGGCCCTATAAAGGCCCCACATCCCTATGGCCCCATAGTGGCCCCATAGTGGCCCCATAATGACCCTATAATGGCCCTATAGTGGTCCGGTCCCCCGTGTTGATCACCAGGCCCAGAGCCGTGCCTGTGGGGCGGCCCCATAGATCTGCATCACTGTGGTGGCCCCATAGTGGCCCCATATCCCCACGGCCCTATAATAGCCCCATAGTGGCCCTACAATGGCCCTATAGTGGTCCGGTCCCCCGTGTTGATCACCAGGCCCAGAGCCGTGCCTGTGGGGCGGCCCCA